TAGTGAAATATGCAAAGACTTGGGAGTACTATGGCTCTGTAATATAAACACTGGACTGCTAACCACAAGATCAGCAGTTCAAACCCACCAGCTGCTCCTTGGGTGAAATATGAGATGTTCTAATTCTTTACAGATTTACAGTCTCGGAAGCTTATACAGGGTGGCTATGAGTTGGAATTGACTTGATGGCACTTCCCAACATAGAAGTTAAAAGGAAAAAATACACTTGGCATTTCTCAAGTTGAAAGAACTGAACAAAAAATTTATACTGTGAGTTGCAATACTAAAGGACTCCAAGGGCAAATCCCACTACTCAACTATCAGTTTGTTGTTCTGTGGTAACTGTGATATTGGAAACTATGCCACTGGTACTTTAGTTATCAGTAGGGTTACCCATGGTTTCAGCAGAGCTCCAGACTAAAAGAGACTAGAAGAAAAAGAGGCAACCACTCTGAATGGTTAGCCACTGAAAATGTATAAATAGCAGTGAAACAAAAATCCTCACAATTAAACCAATGAACAACATCATGATAAATGCAAGGATTTCATTTCAAAAGTCAAGGATTTCATTTAACTTGGATCCATAATCCATGGAAGTAGCAGTCCAGAAGCCAAATGATGTATTGCATTAGGCAAATCTGCTGCAAAAGTACTTTTTATAGTATTGAAGAGCAAAGTTGTCACTTTTGAGTACTAAGGCATACATGGCACAACCCATGGTATTTTCAATCAACTCATGTATGTGAAAGATGGATAATCAATAAAGACTGAAGAGCTTATATCTTTGAACTATGGTATTGATAAAGAATACTGAATATCAGATAGACTGCCAGGATGAACAAATCTATGTTAGAAGAAGCAGAGCCAGAATACTCCTTATAAGCGAAGATGGTAAGATTTTGTATCTTGTTCTTTGGACATGTTATTAGGAGGAACCAATCCCTAGAGGACATCAAGCTTGGAAAAGTAGAGGGTAAGCGATAAAAAGGAAGATAGTCAATGACAATGGATTGACACAGAGGCTACAACAATGGGTTCAAACATAGGGATAACTGAAGATTAAAATAGGCAGTGTTTCATTCTGATGTACGTGGGGTTGTTGAATCTGAACCAACTCAACAGCACCACCAACAACTACATAATCAGAAATGACAATAACTGCTGGTAAGAATGTGATAAAAATAGAACCTTCATATACTGCTGAAGGAGCTCTGGTAGTGTAGTGGATTATGAGATAGGCTGCTAACTGCAAAGTTAGCAATTCAAATCTCCCACTCACTCCATGAGAGAAAGATGAGGCTTTCTACTCCCGTAAAGATTTACAGTCTTATAAAACCTATACAGGATCACTATGACAACCACCATCACCACCATATACTACTGATGGGAATATAAAATGGTCCAGTCACTTAGGAAAAAAGTTTGGTAGTTACTTAAAAAGTTAAACATACAATTAACACCCTCCTAGATATACAGAGACAACAGAATTGAAAGTATCTGCACAAAAATTTGTACAGAATGTTCACAGCAAAATTTCAACAACCCAAATGTCTATCAACTGATGGATAAACAAAATGTGGTACGTTCATACAATGGAATATTACACAGTCATAAATGGGACTGAAGCATGGATACATGCTATAACAATGATAAACCTTGAAAGCACTATGGAAGTAGAAAAACCAGCCACACAACATTTTTATGAAATGTCTAGTACAGGCAAAGCTTTTGAGATATATATCTATGGAGAACAATGGTTTTCTAGGGCTGGAAGAGTGGGGTAAAGGAAAAAACGTTGAGTAACTGGTAAAAGGTTTCTTTTTGGAGTGATGAAATGTCCTGTGGTGATATCTGTACAATTCTGTGATTATACTAAAAATCCCCAAATTACATAAGTTACATGAATTAATTTTATGGTACATGAATTTTATCTGAATTTTTTTTTTTAATGAAGAAATACTGCTTAAAGGTCAATATGATTAACTATTGTGACTCTATCAGAAGGAAAACATACCAGAATGTCTAAGACCTAAAAAAAGCATGTCCTGGATACCTTACCAATTTTGATCTCCACTCCTCATAACAGAAGATGCCAAACATAGTTTCTCCCGGATGGACCATGGTTCTGTGGGGCCAGTACTTAGTAGCTTGTGCTCTGAAAGAAGAGAAGGCAACCAGTGACACACTAGTTCTAAGCCACACAGAGAGAACTAAAGGTTTAATACAAAACAACCCAACATGTTTGGTAAGGTGGAGGGTTACAGAAAAAGAGGGAGACCCCCAACGAGATGGATTGGCCAAGTGGCAGGATCAATGGACTCCAGCGTGGCAACAGTAGTGAGGTGGCCCAGGATCGGGCAGTGTTTCGTTCTGCTGCGCATAAGGTCGCTGTGAGTCGGTACCGACTCCATGGCACCTAACAACAACAACCAATCTAAACGGCTTGAACCCACCAATTATTCCACAGAAAGATGTGATAATCTGCTTCAGTAGACTGTTGGTGTTAAGTCCCATCGAGTCGTTTCCAATCATAGTGACCCTGTATAGGGTTCCCAAGGAGCTGCTGGTGAATTTGAACTGCCGACCTTGCAACTGAAACCGAGCTGTGGTCCACTCCACTGCATTATCCCCCAGCACCACATGGGGCAGCTATACTCTGTGCTATAAGGTAGGTGACTGTGAGTCAGAATCTACTCAAGGGCAGTGGATAGAACCAAAGTTTGGTATTCACCCCTCCAGTTAGCCAAAGGAGTCCTGGTAGGATAAGCACGGGACAGCTAACCACAAGTCGGCGGGTCAATACCTTCAGCCACTCCTCAGAAACCCTATACAAGGTTGCTATGAGTTGGAACCGACTAGACGAGACTAACAACAGTGAGTTAAATTATCTTTGGTAGCATAGTGGTTAGAATCGGGCTGTTAACTTCAAGGTCAGCAAATCAAAACTACCATTGGTTCCAGAAAGATGAGGCTTTCTGCTCCAGTAAAGATTAACAACCTCGGAAACCCTATAGAGAGAGGAGCGCTATGAGTCAGAACCGACTCCACAGCACATAATCACCATCAGGGAAAGGGTATCTTATTCATCACATGGGAAATGCACTGAATAGAGGTGCCTTGGTGGTGCCGTGGTTAAAGCACCCGGTTGCGGACTTAAAGGTCAGTCAGGCAGCTCTGCGGGAGACAGCAGCCCGTTTCCACAAAGACCCAGGACGAGGCACTTCTCCTATGTACCGTGTGGTCACTAAGAGTCAGAATTTACTCAACAGCAACAAGTATTTTATAAGGTTGTTAAAAACGTTTTTCTTCCTCAAATGCCATTGCTTCAAGCTCCACTTTAATGTTACATTAAGGCCTTAATGCCAGATTACGCAGTTTTCCCGAAAAGCCTTATTTTATACGTTATTTTCTTCCAATTTGAAAAGAGGAGCTATTTCCCAGGATTCCGAGCGGCCACCATCTCCTGCTGCCCCGCCTCCTTCTTAGCATAAACTTGTTTACTTCTTTCAGTCCAGGCCCTTAATTGTAGGACCTAAAAATACAAGTAAATCGAAACGCAATAACCCCAGAGGCAGAAAGAGCTTGTGGTTAAAAGACCTAGTTTCCAGAGCGTCTCAAACATTCGTCAGAAAACGAATGGCTTTTTGAGATACCAGCCACTCCGTAAGTAGTACATCAATTTGAATGCACGCTCAAATTTCTAGAGGACCTCTATCCCCCTCTCCCATGGAGTTCCCAACATACAAAGATTCGTTGCGCTGCTTTCTTCACACTCTAACCACAGACACAAAACCCTAAACATCTAGGCCCCCAACCGTTGGCCTTCACGACGCCCGTACAACACAGGTCTGTAAAGACCCTGAACTCTCAGGCAAAGCATTCCTCCCATTCTGCAAGCGTGTGACAGAAACGTGGCACCTAGCTTCGACTCTAATAAGCCCTTCACATAAAAGAAACACAGACACTCACTGCCCGTTCCTGCCGCCATTTTAGCCCGAAGTCTCCAAGCCGGAGCTAAAGCGAACCAAGCTGATCAAATTCTTGTGGAATTCTGGGAAATAGAGTATGGTTGTTTGTTCATGTTGGCTCCTGGGAAATGTAGTCTTTCACAGTAAACCACTTATCTTCTAAGCCCCTTGGAAGAAGTGTTGCTGAGTCAGGACAGGAAATGGCGCCAGAACCCTTAAGAGTTCTTTTCGGGTCCTTAAGAAGGCAGTGTCTAAGACTCAAGAAAAAGAGTTAAACGGGATAAATCCCAGAGGACCCGATTCCAAATTCGCGGCAGTTGGTAACCCGGAAGTGCATATAAAAAGAGGTTAACGCGAAGCAAACGGTTTCCTTGTCGCTCCCGCCCTCTTTTTTTGCACTGATTGGTAGCTGCAGGCTTCATTTTCTGATTGGTCGAACGAACGCTGCGCATAATTTAAAACATTGTAACAGTAACAAAGCTGTGCCTCGTGGGCGGGGTTGTGCTCCTTTCTTGCCAGGTCCAGGTTCGGCTGTTGTGTGGGAGTGAGGCGGTACCGGCGGGAGAGCAAGTGTCCTGGTTTTCGGGTAAGTGTGCTCCTGGACTGGAACCCGGGTTGCCAACTCTTGCCCTTCTGTAACGGGCTTTCAATAACGGAACTGACACTGTCTCTCTGACTACTTCTGCTTTCACATTGGGCCTTATGGCGATTTTGGAAAAGCAGCCTCGGGATCTTGACTCTGGATTCCTTAACACTGGAGGGCGCGGTACTTGGAGTATGGCTTTCTGCTTGTAAAGTTCGGTATCTGTACCTTGCTGCTCGAGGTCGGAAATGCTGCCTTCGACGGGATTATTGGATTGACTCCTCATATTCCCTTTCTCTGTGCCAAGCTTTGGAAGGAAAACGCAGTAGGAATTTAGACATCCGAACCAGGTGTCCCAGGGCTAGGGGATTGTTTTTAACCTTGAAATTTCCAGGTCCCTTCTACTCTTTTCTTTCTCCACTCAACCCAGTTTTCTTTGTAGACCGAAGCTGTCATGTCTCAAGGGATCCTTTCTCCGCCAGTGGGCTTGCTGTCCGATGAGGAAGTGGCAGTCTCCCCCATGTTTGAGTCCACAGCTGCAGACTTGGCGTCTGTGATAAGAAAGGACTTGCTTTCAGACTGTTCTGTTATCTCCACCTCCCTGGAGGATAAGCAGCAGGTAATAAAGGTGGGGAGTGGCTTGTAGACTGCAAGTGATATAATCACTTATACTAACTTAAAGGAGCTCTGGTAGCGTAGTGGTTACGAATCAGGCTGCGAACTGCAAGGTCAACAGTTTGAAACTACCAGCTGTTCTACGGGAGAAAGATGAGGCTTTCTGCTCCTGTAAAGATTTATAGCCTTGGAAACCCTATGCAGGGTCCCTATGAGTCCGAACCGACTCCATGGCACATAACAACAGCATACTAACTTATGTTGTTAAGTGCTATCAAGTTGGTTCCTACTCATAGTGACCCTGTATAGGGTTTCTGAGGATTTCTGAGGTGAACTTTTACTGCCAACTTTGCCGTTCAAAATGACTTTGCAGCCCAGCACATTAACCTGCAGCATCACACCAGGACTCCACTAAGTCCATTGGTTGGTTGGTTGACTTTTATCAACCACAAAGCAAATGACATTTGTGGCCTTGCTGTGTCTTTGATGGGGGCTGTCCTGTGCATTGTAAGATGTTTATTGGTATTCCTGGCCTCAACCCACTAGATGCCAGTTGCACATTCCCAATTGTGCAACCAGAAATGTTTCCAGGCACTGCTAAATTTCTCTGGGAGCAGAGGTAAAGTGTATTATCACATTTGGTCTTCAGAAAAATTCTACCCAGGAGTCTCTCAGTGAGTCTTATGGGGCAAAAACATTGATGTCTTTTGATGTGGACTAAGGATAGCATACCAGTGAACTAATTCTAACTCAAATAATTGGTGCAGTAAGGGTGACAGACTCATGAAAAGGTCTGTAATTTGCAGTAGAATTAGGATGTGCTAACATGATTTCTAGGAATTATACTGTTTGTCCATCTATCAGCAGTAATAGCTGTGACTAATACGTGTTCCCTGGATGGAATTATGCCACAGGTTCTATCTGAGGATAATACAGAGAAGGTGAGAGTATACCTGAGGATCAGGCCCTTCTTACCTTCAGAGTTGGAACGACAGGAGAATCAGGTGAGTGAGGAGAGAGGGTTGAAGAATGAATGATGCAGTACAGAAGAGGTTCCCAGAAATGTTTCCTTCTGTGATAACTGTTTTAACCCTTTCAGGGATGTGTCCACATTGAGAATGTGGAGACTCTTGTTCTACAAGCACCCAAGGAGTCTTTTGCCCTGAAGAGCAATGAACGAGGAATTGGTCAAGCTACCCACAGATTCACCTTTTCCCAGGTATGGAGTGGAGGTGCTAGACTATGAACAAGTGACCACCATCTAGAGGCAACTTTGTTCTGTCTCTGAAAAGAAAGCTCTTTCTTTTTCTCTGTGTCTTTGTGTGCATATACACACACATTTACATACCTTTAGAATTTGGGGTGGGGGGGTAGGTTTCTCTTGTTATATGCTAGATCACTCTGTCAAGTACTATATGTACATTAATTCACCACAACTCCATGACTGTCTGTTTTCTGACAAGGATACTATGGCACAGTGAAGGCAAGTAACATTAACAAAACGATGTAGCTAGTCAGTGTTAGAACTAGGACTTGGATCCAAATCCATCCTCTAAAACACATCCTTTTGACCATTATACCAATCAATTGTGAATGCAGCATTGAGAGGGAGCTTAGTGCATAGCATTCCATAAATATTTATTTGGCTGAAAGATGGACTAGCAAAGTGGTTAAATCCCTTGTGTTTAGGGTACAGCTAGCTGGTAGAAGTGTAGGACGAAGCTGCATAAGTGATTTCTAGAGCCACCACCTAGGAAGGAAGGAATCTGCTGGCTCTGCACAGGAGGTGAATGGGAGATGAAGAATGGGCCTTTGAAGAATTGGGTCTTTCTGTAGATCTTTGGGCCGGAAGTAGGACAGGCATCCTTCTTCAACCTGACCGTGAAGGAAATGGTGAAGGACGTACTCAAAGGGCAGAACTGGCTCATCTATACATATGGAGTTACCAACTCAGGGAAAACCCACACCATTCAAGGTAAGTAGTTAAGGTCTTACAGGATTGTTGATTGGGTTGTAATGGTGCAGTCTATCCCTTTGATGCTGAGTTAGGGGGAAAAGGCACTTTTCTCAGTTGTCCATCTTTCACATACCTCCAGGTACCATCAAAGATGGAGGAATCCTACCCCGGTCTCTGGCTCTGATCTTCAATAGCCTCCAAGGCCAGCTTCATCCAACACCTGATCTGAAGCCCTTGCTCTCCAATGAGGTAGTCTGGCTAGACAGCAAGCAGATCCGGCAGGAAGAAATAAAGAAGCTGGCTTTGCTAAATGGAGGCTTCCAAGAGGTGAAGTGTTGTGTCCATGGAGGTATGGTGGGTTTACAAATCTCTGACAAGTTTTATGCTTACCTTTTCCCTGGTTTCCTCTAGGAAGAGCTCTCCACCTCCTTGAAGAGAAGTGTCTACATTGAAAGTCGGATGGGTACCAGTACCAGCTTTGATAGTGGCATTGCTGGGCTCTCTACCAGTCAGTTTACCAGCAGTAGTCAGTTGGATGGTATGTACCATAAGAGGGTTCTGTGCCAAGTAATAGGAACCCAGTCCCTGTTAACAATAGGTGTAGATCAGAGATTGTAGTCTGAACTCTTTTCTTCCAAGGAACCCCCGGGCCAAAAGGGAGAAGGACTGCTCTAGGGTTGATACTCTGTACATTGATTTCCTCCCCAGAAACAAGTCACCGATGGGCACAGCCAGATACTGCCCCAATAAGTGTCCCAGCAGACATCCGCTATTCCATCTGGATATCTTTCTTTGAGATCTATAATGAGCTGATTTATGACCTATTAGAACCACCCAGCCAGCAGCGCAAGAGGCAGACACTGCGGTTGTGTGAAGATCAGAATGGTAATCCCTACGTGAAAGGTACGGGAGATTTGAGAGGCTGGCATGAACCCTGGAGGGGACTTGGAATAAATCTAGGGAAAGAGTTGGGCACTCCCATCTTGTGCACATCTCTCCTGCTTCAGATCTCAATTGGATTCATGTTCAAGATGCTGAGGAAGCCTGGAAACTCCTAAAAGTGGGTCGTAAGAACCAGAGCTTTGCCAGCACCCACCTGAACCAGAACTCTAGCCGCAGGCGAGTAGATTGTAAGAGTCATTGCTTTATTGTGTTCCACTTGGTCATGGAAGATGTACAGTAATTTTTCTCTTTTTCTTAACTTTCAGTCATAGCATCTTTTCCATCCGAATCCTGCACCTCCAGGGGGAAGGGGACATAATCCCAAAAATCAGCGAGTAAGTGTGACTATTTAGAAAATCGGGCTTCTTGGCCTTAAATGATGTGTGAGGGAAGTCCTTGGAGAAAAGACTTATAGATCCTATGCTCTCCTTTCTTAGGTACAGATTCTTGATAGCTCTCCCATCTCCATAACTATATAAAGGGCTGGAAGATTCAACATACAGGATCCTGATGTCAGACTCGTCTTTTATTCTAGGTTGTCACTCTGTGATCTGGCTGGCTCAGAACGCTGCAAAGATCAGAAGAGTGGTGAGCGACTTAAGGAAGCAGGAAACATTAACACTTCCCTGCATACTCTAGGCCGTTGTATTGCTGCCCTTCGCCAAAATCAGCAGAACCGGTGAGCTCTTGACTGTAAGCCATGGGTTGGGGTGGCCTGGGGCTCTGCAATTTATTAAGAGACTTCCAGGTGACCACTGCTGGGATATATGTCCAAAGGACTGGAATTGTCCTCACAGATCTATTCTTTGATTCTGACAGTTCAAAGCAGAACCTGATTCCCTTTCGAGACAGCAAGTTGACTCGAGTGTTCCAAGGCTTCTTTACAGGCCGAGGCCGCTCCTGTATGATTGTTAATATGAATCCCTGTGCATCTTTCTATGATGAGACCCTTCATGTGGCCAAGTTTTCAGCTATTGCCAGCCAGGTGAGAAACTGTAGGTAGTAAACCTTTGTTTGAAGAAATTACTAGGAACTGGTTTTGAATTCAATGAAAAAATTTTTTCCCTTTAGCTGGTGCATGCCCCACCTATTCAACTGGGATTACCATCCCTGCACTCATTTATCAAGGATCACAGTCTGCGGGCATCCCCTAGCTTAGAAACAGGTGCCAAGCTGGACCCAGGCCTTGATGATGACACGCAAAATGAAACTGACATCTCCATGTATGGCAAGGAGGTGAGCATACAAGGCTTACGTGTGGCAGTTTGATGGCTACACATTTCCCATGCTGCCTTTCAAGTGGGCCTATGTCTTTTGGGCACCCGGACATTTATTGACCTCTTACCCATGTGTCCCTTTAGGAGCTCCTAGAGGTGGTAGAAGCAATGAAAGCGCTGCTTTTGAAAGAACGGCAGGAAAAGTTGCAGCTGGAGATACAGCTCCGTGATGAGATTTGCAATGAGATGGTGGAGCAGATGCAACAACGGGAACAGTGGTGCAGGTACCAACTGAGTGGCTTTTCTTGTTCTGCCACCTGGACCTCAAGATCTGTCCTCTAAGCTCCCTCCTCAGTGAGAGTCTTCACTCACTTTTCTCCTGTAACAGTGAACATTTGGACATCCAGAAGGAACTGTTGGAGGAAACTTATGAAGAGAAACTAAAGATTCTCAAGGAGTCGCTGACAAGTTTTTACCAAGAAGAGCTGCAGGTGAGTTACCTTGAACCGTCTTCCAACTAGCTGCTCAGATTCCCATCACTATCTTACCTGAGGTAAACAAGATTTTATAAACTCTGACGAGGGCAGAGATGTACAACTTTCTTTTCTACTCCCCTTAGTGTGCTGTGTATGTGCCCATTTCATGTTTGATGAATTGATTTAAGGGTCTAGTTGGCCAAGAAATGGGATAAGTGTTAGCAAATAGGCTCTTAAGGCCTAAGCATCAGGAAGGTTTTATTCAGTTTTTTCAATCTATTCCTGCCATATTTATCTGACTCTGAATGGAATTATGCTCTCTGCTTCCCTCTTAGGAGCGGGATGAAAAGGTTGAAGAACTAGAAGCCCTCTTACAGGAAGCCAGACAGCAACCAGTGGCCCACCAACAATCAGGGTCTGAATTATCCCTACGGCGGTCACAACGATTGGCATCTTCCTATACCCAGCAACTCCAGGAGGTTAAAGCTAAATTCGAGCAGTGCAAAGCAGAACTAATCTCTACCACTGATGGTGAGAAAGGAGAGAAAGAAGGGTAGAAATTCTGGATAAACACCTTATGGGTTTCCATTCATAAGAACACCTTCATAATAGTTATTCTAGGTGTAGCTCCCCCACTTTATTGAGGTATGCATCACATACGATAAAATCTTAAATGAACAGCTCAGTGGATTTTTACGTGTTACATCACCTAGGTCAAAAGATATTTTTGTCAAACTAGAAACTTCCTTGTTTTTAGCCTCATTTTTAAAGTTGAAATATAGGTAGTTCCCAACTTAAAATGTATGCAAATTGCAGCAAATGTCACTTTTGACAGTTTGGGGGGTTTTGTTTTGTTTACATCTTATTATTTGCCATATGAACTACATAGTATTAAAATATATCTAATTTTATATTTGGTATTCAACCCCCAAAGACAGATCAGATTTATAAAGGTACAATAATAATGAAAGCTTTTAAAAATGAAATATTCAACTTGTGTCAGAATCAACAGAATGGAATCAATCCTACTGTAAATTGGAGACTGCCTTACTTAGTCCAGGTATTAAATCATTTGCCAGTTATAGAGCTGGTAAAGAAAAGAGCTTATCTTCATTCTTTGGCCTCCAGACTTCAGGTCCAATGTTATTTCCTCAATTCCAAACTACAACCCTCTGACCTCTTATTCTAGGATACATGTGATTTTGCTTTCTATATTATCTGCAGGCTTCTGTTACCTCAGTAAGTACAAGCATAGGCCAACATATTTAAGTTTTTGTTTTCTTCCTTCAGAGCTGCATAAGTATCAGAAAATGTTAGAACCACCACCCTCAGCCAAGCCCTTCACCACTGATGTGGACAAGAAGTTAGAGGAGGGCCAGAAGGTAATAACTTTCTGTGTGTTATCATAGCTCCTACATGGGGCAGTTTCCATTACTTTTTTTCAACTTCAAAATATTCCTGTTACACCGGGATATCTTTGTTATAAATACACTAAAAACAAACAACAGCATTTGGTTTTATATGCAGTTCATTTTTATATACACAAGGAATTTATTAAGTCCATGGAAATTTTTTTCCCATGAACTTTTGAAGGCTTCTCATATAATTCAGTGATATTATGTCAATTTCTCATACTATTTTTCCCAGGTTTGTTTAAGGACAGATTGTTTTTGTCTTGTTTGGAGGGACCAATTCCTTGTCAACAAACAAGCCTTTCTAATTTCATTTCTTAAAATTGCTACTCAACCCCTCCAGCTCACTACCTTGTTTGATGTTGACCAAAATCTTATTGCTACTTCTTTTTAAGAATATAAGGCTGATGCGGACAGAGCTTCAGAAACTTGGTGAGTCTCTCCAGTCAGCAGAAAGAGCCTGTTGCCACAGCACTGGAGCAGGAAAACTTCGCCAAGCCTTGACTAATTGTGATGACATCTTAGTTAAACAGGTGAGGGCAGCCTACATCCTCCCTCCTTCCCCCACCTAGCCCACTCCAGTGTGTATTTGAGAAGGGGAATGAGGAGCAGAAGAGAAAGGTGAAAGGCAACGATTTTTAGGCTGATCTCTTAATGGTGGGAGTTTTATCTTCCTTATAAAATAAAACTAGCCTCTGTTAAGCATTTTGAAGTACGAGGCACTGTGTTAAGTGATTTATAGACATTTTCTTTGTTGTAACAACACTGGAGATAGATACTGGGCTTGAACCACAGACCTAGTGCTTATCCTAGAGCCACACCAGGACTCCAATAGATACTATGTTGTTGTTAGGTGCCATCGAGTTGGTACCAACTCAGAGAGACCCTATGCACAACAGAAGAAAACACTGCCCAGTCCTGGACCGATCTCACAGTTGTTGCCACACTTGAGCCCATTGATGCTGCCACTTTGCCAATCCATCTCGCTGGGGGTCTTCCTTTTCTTTTCTGACCCTCCACCTTACCAAACATGATATCCTTCTCCAGCAACTGGTTCCTCCTGACAACATTTCCAAAGTATGAGAGACAAAGTTTGGCCATCCTGGCCTCCAAGGAGCACTCTGGCTGTACTTCTTCTAAAATACCCAATTGTAAGAATTCATTATTTTAAGTACCAGTGTGGTGCTGTGGACTAATGTGTCAGACTGCAAAGCCGTTTGAATTGCAAGGTCGGTGGTTCAAGCTCACCAGCTGCTCCTTGGAAACCCTATACATGGTCGCTATGGGACAGAATCGACTCGACAGCAAAGAACAACAAGAGAAAAAAGAAAAAGTCCTGTTGTGATAATGTAGGATAAGCACTGGACTATTAACTGCAAGGTCGAAGGTCCAAACCTATCAGTTCTCCTTGGAAACCCTATTACAGGGTCACCATAAGTTGGAACCAACTCAACAGCACAAGAAAAAAAAAACCGTATTAAATAAGCTATGGCATTTGCGATCAATTATAAGAAGCATTCTAATTCCAGAGATGTTAATAATAAATTTTAAACTAGATTAGACAAAGCACTAATTTTGTTATTTAGAGACTTAGGTTCTTAGAGGCTAAATAGCTTAAAGCTCACACTGCTTTGGTTGTGGTTATGTACTGTGGAGTCGGTTCTGACTCCTAATGACCCTGTGTAGGGTTTCCAAGGCTATAACTTTGCAGGAGCAGAAAGCCTCATCTTTCTCCTGCAAAACGGCTGGTAGTTTTGAACTGCTAACTTTGAGGTTAGCAGCACAATTTATAACCACTACGCTACCAGAGCTCCTTCACATTGCTTTATGTATTAGAAAATGTTCTGTTTAGCAGTTTATTGTTTGGGTATCAAAGAAAATACCCAGTATTCAATTATAAGCACTGACCTTAAAGAGTATCTTGAAGGAACTGTTGGTAACTAGTAGTAGATGACGTGTATTATCTTGCCCTCATATTTCTCAACTACAACAGATTAAATGTGTTCTCTTATCACTTTATTGATGTTTAGGACCAGACCCTGGCTGAACTTCAGAATAATATGATGCTTGTGAAACTAGATCTTCGGAAAAAAGCAGCATGTATCGCTGAGCAGTATCACACAGTGCAAAAACTCCAAGGCCAGGCTTCTTCCACCAAAAAGCGCCTTGGCCCCAACCAAGAAAACCAGCAACCAAATCAGCAACCCCCAGGAAAGAAACCATTCCTTCGGAATTTACTTCCCAGAACACCCACCTGCCAAAGCTCAACAAACTGTAGCCCTTATGCCCGTATTTTGCGTTCACGGCGTTCTCCTTTACTCAAATCTGGGCCTTTTGGCAAAAAATACTAAGGCTGTGGGAAGGCAAGAATAGTCATTCCCTTGAGGTGAGTCAGCTGCTCAGCTTTATAAGTTTATAAGCTTTGTCATATATACCTAGTACTCTTTTCTGAATGCAATACTCTGAAACTAGTACTGTATTCCTTTTTGTAATATAATCATCTATGTATTCTCACATTATGTTGTTGTGTTTTACATATTGCTTCTATGCATACAAAAATATTAAAGATATTATTCACATTTTTAGTTGCAAATTTAGCAAAATCATTAAATAATAGGGGCAGAAAGATTGAGAATTAAGTATCATTCAAGTCCATGAGACCCCTTGCACAGGAATGGCAGTTGAGACCAGTAACTTTTGTATAGCTACCCTAAGAATTCTGGGTAAGGAATGACTGCATGAATGTAAGAGGCATTGGATTTTCTAAGTTTTCCTTACTATAAAATGAAGTGTCAAACACTAGTAGGTGAATGTGTACAACCATGTTCTGGGAATAAAAATAAAGGAAACTTGGGTCCTGGGCTCAGGATGCCCCCCACAGCATCCACTATACAAATTCATGTTAACACATACTCATCATATATTACTTGCTACTGAACACACTCCTACTGCTTGCTGAAAGCAAAGAGGACTTAACTGACAAATCCTTACTGATAAAGATCAGAGACTGTAGCCTTCAGGATGGGTTGCACTTCAATGGACCAATAAATAATATCCATATAAATGGAGAAAAGATTGAAGTTGTCAAAGACTTCATTTTGTCCAGGTCTACCATCATCGCATGAAAGCAGCTGTCAAGAAATCAAATTATGTAATATATTATGTAAATCTGCTGCACAAGGCCTCTTTAAGGTGTTCAAGAGCAAAGATGTCAGGTTTGAGGACCAGATGTGTCCGGATCAAGCCATGGTATGTGAAAGTTAGTGAATAAGATCGTAGAAGAATTGACACATTTGAGTTAAATGGTGTTGGAGAACAACTAGAATACTCCTTGGGAACCAGGATGTCAAGACTTTGTCTTTCATACTTCAGATATGTTATCAGGAGTGACCAGTCTCTGGAAAAGGATACCATTCTTAGGGAAGTGGAGGGTCAAAGAAAAAAAGGAAGATCCCCCTAGATTGATTGGCAGTGGCAGGTAGAAGTGGGCTCAAGCTTAACTACTGTGAGAATGGTGCAAGACTGGGCAGTGTTTTTGTTTTATTGTGCATAAAGTCACTATGAGTCAGAATCAACTCCACGGCACCTAACAATAACTGAACACAAATATGACTCTGAAAGCCTCCAATGCAAGAATCACTTTTACCTGTCTAAAAAGATGAAGGCTAAGAAAAAAAATTCTCTTGGAGAGTAAGGAAAACAATGTTTATTAAAGCAAACTACCTTGCAGTAGATTTATTCTCAGATGTATAAAAGTATCATTCCCAAATATCCATGCACTATCTGTATTCCTGTCTCCTTGCTTTTGGTTGGGGTACAGCTAATGCTATGGGAGACATCTTTTACCTTCAAGGAGCCCTCCTGGCATAGCGGGTTATGAGTTGGGCTAGTAACTGCAAGGTCAGCAGTTCAAATCAACGAGGCACTGTGCAGGAGAAAGATGGGGCTTTCTGCTCCCACAAAGATTTACAACCTCAGAAACCCTATACAGACTGGGTTGCTATGAGTCCGAACCAATTCAATGGGACAACTGGGCTGTCAGCAGTTCCATGTTCTAAAATTCGTTCTGCCCTTCTTTTATTAAATTCCATAAGTTATTTCTAATTTTATATTTAGGACACTCATCAAAATGGTTTTGAAAAAATTTTGCCCTAGACTAAGAACAAATGGATTGCTTCATACCATTTAAACCTAATTTCTGACATCAGAATAAGGAACATGCTAAGCAAAGGAAGTCATGTCCATCCAGTGCCCTGACCTCTTCCTTAGGTATTCAATGTCCCTACTGCTAGCAGAGGTATAAAGTGGCAAAGCTTTTTCCTAGCCTTGCATCTCTAAAGAAATCCCCTCCTAGTCCCAGCAGCATTAAAAGCTTGTTCCTGTAGCACTGGCTGTGCTAAAGTGCTGTCAAATGATATGGTTTTTGTTTTGTTTTTTAAGAGGGAAAAATGGTCTGGGAAAAAGGTCAAGCTCTATAGCCACTCTCTGAACAAAAAGGAGAAAGAAATGTTTTTAACTGGTAACTATTCCTGCCATGACTTTCTGGTTGCTCAGCCTCTGGAAGTGTTTCTATAAACTGTCCACAGGATAATATTTCCATCTGTAGAAACAAAAGAGCTGAAGCCTGTAAAGAACAGATGTGGCTTTTCTTTATATGGACGAAAGCCTTAATCTGGGTCTGGCAATGTGTTGGCTTGGAAATAGCCAACTACGGTGTGACTGAAGACAGGTTGAGAGGAGAAACTCTACGTGTCGGGGTGGTGTTGGCAGACAGTGAAGCAGGGAGAAAAAAAGGAGCAGGCATTTCTGTAGTTGGAGTCTCCCCTTGGTTCCGAAGCTGTAGGATTTGCCGGAGCAAGGCTTTACCTTCTTCCCGGGTCTGAAAAAAAGTTAGGCAACTGTTTAAAAATATGTCTGAGGTTATTGTCAAACACAGGTTGTTAAAATACAGATAAATTCTGATGATCAAAGAAGCCTTTCCACTTACCTTACTATCATCCATCTCCCATTCTTAGATCATAATAAAGGTATGTTTTAGCCCTAAATCCAAATCCTTTACTAAAGAACTGATACTCACATCATTGAATGCACAACATTTTTGGGCACAAGCTGAAGCTTCATCCCACAGCTTGCACTTAAAATAGTACTGGGCCAGATAGCGGAAAGCAGTGCTCTCCTCCAAGTGTTCCACTATTTCCTAGATAGGAAAAGCAGGAATGACTAAGGGGATAAGGATAAGATCAGCAGCCCAATTCCAATATTCATGACACATACCCCACAGGAATAGATATCCTGGATATATTTTATGTAGCACTGGGCAGCCTGTTCTGACTCAGTCAATTGTTCATGAAGCCTACAAAAGAAATTGGCCTTTAAGTACAAATCAAAACTCAACACAAGTTAGAAATAAAAAGATTAAAGTTTGTAATACCAAAACACAATAATATATAGTAAAGCATAATAGATATTTACATAGATGGCCCATACTCTGCACTGGTGATGGAGAGAGAGTTAAATCCTTAAACTGCAGAACACACCTTTGAAAAATTCTCTGGAAACACCCAGAACACAAACCAAAACCTAGTTGATTCCGACTCATAATGAACCTATATGGTGCTTACGGGACACAATCTTTACAGGAGTAGAAAGTCTCATCTTTTTCCCATGGAACGGCTGGTGGGTTAGAACAGCCGACCTTGCATTTAGCAGCCAAGCACTTAACCCACTTTGCCCTCAGGGCTCACTGGTAACACCCAGAATAAGATAAAAACCATACAAGCAACTCAGAATTTTTCCCCTAAGAATCCAGAAAATGGCAAAAATGAAACTGCATTTAGGAACTCCTTTGCCTATTTTTCTGAGTGATTTCTAATTTTCCTGGTCCTTATCAGGAACTAATCAATACTTAAAGTAGTTTTCCTAGCCTGACCAGACATGGATATTCTCACTTTAAATTTTAATTTAATTTAAATTCTTGATCTCTTGCCTATGAGAAAAACATTTCCCTTCAAAAAGAAGAGGCATTCTCTAAAGTCTAGATAACTAAATTCCCAGATCAACACTCATAAACCCTGCTACATCTCCCATATTCATACAGAATGCTGGATGGGAAGCTCTAGAACATGCAGAACCCACCATATCAAAGAAGCCAACAGATATATTAAGTATTTCACTCCTTTCACTCACTTTGCCAATTTCACCAGAGCCATTTTCTCCACATCTCCCACGGCGTAAGCTCTCCAATAACACTGTCAAAGAAATAAACTGATCACTCTGATCACTGCCCCATGTGCAATGACTCATGGGATAAAGAAAGGCCCAGGCCCTGCAAACCTCCCAGAAGTATAAACTTGCTAGTACTGATAGGTTAAGGCTATTGACATATGACATTCCCACTGATGATTTCAGCCCAGCTCTGCTTTTAGCCTGTGTACCTGTAAATACTGAGATTTTTCTATGCAAATAGATCAGAATGAAGAAAAAATTAGAGTACAGAGCATAACCTTTATCCAAGCAGCAGGTTTCATTCAAATGCTCCAGGACCCAATTTCATGTACCTTTTTGGCTTCTACTAGTTGATTGAGTTTCTCATAACATTCTCCTAAAGCAACCAGCATACGAGAATCATTGGGCCTGATAGAGAAAAGAGCAGTAGTCTGAACACAAGCAAAGGCTTTATTAAATAACAATCCCCCTCCCATGAGAAATCAACCACCATTCAATGCTTCATAAAATCATTGTTCAAAATTGTACTATTAATCTATTAGTGTTGTTAAGTGCCACTGAGTTGGTTGTGACTCAGTAGTAACACTGTACAAGGGTTTCCAAAGAGTGGCTGGTGGGTTTGAACCACTGACCTTGTGGTTAGCAGTCCAGTGCTTATCCTATAATGCCACACCAGGACTGTGACCTATTAGTGGAATACTCTAAATAAAAATAATCAAACAACACATAACAAGATTAAACATCTCCAAGATGCAAAACCATTCACTGTGACTTTAGCAGCTATCAAAAGAAAGGAAAAATATAGGGAGATCAGCCTTTAAAAGTAACTGACAATCGGACACATACCGAAGCTGATGGGCTCGTCTATAATAATAAAGGCAGTAAAAGGGCATCTTGAGGATTTCATAAGTCTGCCCAAGGCCATACCAGGCTCTGTAATCCCGCTTATTGACCTCAATGGCATGTCTAAGAAATGGAAGAGACATACAGGTTTAGAAAACATTATCAAGGTTAGCAACTTGCAGGCTCAAAAGAGGCTTCTAACATCACACAGCAGTCTTCTCCACCTCACCCTGTAACCAGACGCTGACCTATAAGCCTGGATAGCAGCAGACGTGTTTTTCATTTCCATGTACTCATGTCCCATTAGTGTCCACGCCCCAAGATAACGAGGATTCAACTTCAGGGCTCTCTGGAAATATAAGGCTGCTTTCTCATGCTGAGAACGTAAACTATAATAATTGCCTGTATGAGAAACAAAAAAATATGAAAAACTAGAAAGGCAAAAATACAAGTCCACTAAAATGTATAGTCCTAGTAGAAGTGTGGCACTGTGGATTAATGCGTTGGACTGCAAAGTTGGT